AAGCTTGCACAACAGCTGCTATGCAAGAGAAACACAGGCAATCTCCCCCCATGCGATTTACTGCCTCTGAAAACTGGCTAGAGGGTCACCTATGAGTCAGTTCTACGTTAACAGCAATGGGCACATTAATAGCAATAGTTCAATGGGATCAATACTTTGGTCTTTTTTATTCATTGTCTTTATACAGAGCAACTGAAAATATCATGGTTTGAGACAGAGAGACCCCTTAGTTTTAAAACTGACATCCTTGCTCTCTGGCACTTTCAAGGGGTTCTTGACAGCAGATTTTCTCCACATAACTGGTCTTTTCATTTCTTGACTGCTGCTATCATGGGTGTTGATTGTGGATCCAAATAAGATAAAATCCTTGACAACGTCAATCTTTTCTCCATCACGTTGCTTATTGAACCAATGTTGAGGATTTGTGTTCTCTTTATGCTGTTAATTCTGAATTCAATGTGAGGGTTGGATAATGGACGTTAGAATAGTCAGAACATTGGTGTTTTTGTTGAGTTCTAGTAGCCTCGCAGGAAGAAGTTACACTGCTAACCTAAAGGCACATGGTTCAAATCCACTAGTTTGTCCTCAGGATTATAGCCTCTGGAACCCACTGAAGGGTCAGCTCTGAGGCAGTTTCATCTCAAAGGCACGTAACAACAATGTAATTGGTGTTCAAAAGCCCTAATCGCATAGGTGTAAACTTCTGGGCTGCTGGAAGGTCAGCTGGTTAAAGCTACCAGTCAATTGTGTGTGTGTGTGTGTCTTGAGTACCATCAAGTTGGAACCAACCCATAGCTGACCCTCCAGCAGGTTTTCAAAAGCAGATAATCACACAGGAGGAGACTTCCTATCCTTCTCCCACAAAGTAGCTAGTGGATTTAACCCAGTGCCTTTGGGAATGTAGTGCAGATTTTTACTACTAGGCTACTAGAGCTCCATTGATTGTTGTAGTATTTGTAGTGTACCATAGAGTCAGAACCCACCCATAGCTGACTCTCCAGTGGGTTTTCAGAGGCAGTTAATTGCATGGGAGGAGACTGCCCATCTGTCTCCCATGGAGCAGCTGGTGGCCTTGAACCATGTGCCCTTGGGAGTGCAGCACAGCTTCTCAACACAAGGCTACCAGAGCTCCCCACCAGTTGATTAGTGGGAGAAAAATGGGCAGTCTCTTCTTGGAAAGATTTACGGTCTCAGAAATCTAATGGAGGGTGGCTTTGAACTGGAAACTTTGCAGCAATGGCGTTTTTGGGGTTTTGGATGATAGGTGGTGAAGCACTAGTGCTCAGATTAAGCACTGGACTACTAAAATTTTGAATTCACCAGTCACTCAGCAGGAACAAGATGAGGCAGTCTGCTTCAGCAAAGCTTTGGAAACCCTAAGGAGCAGTTTTACTGGGTGAAAGAGAGGGAGACTGTCAACCAGGTGGGTTGACTTGAGCAGTGGGCTCAAGTATGTAAGCGACTGTGAGGATGGCACAGGATAGGACAGGGTTCAGATCTGTCATTATGAGTTGGAACCGATTCAATTACATTGAGTTTCTACAGTTTGTAAAATCGAAAAGCAATTGTCAAATGCAATAATGGTCACCCATGGTGGACAGTGTTTGGTAGAGCTCCCCTATTAAAACAAGCTTGGAAGCAGGAGTGGCATCCATTTCCGAAACTCTATAAACTTGAAGACATGATGAAAATTATACAAGTGTTCAGGTCTTTGGTTCAGAGGGTCGCTATGAGCTGTCTATGACTCCACGGCACTTAACAACAATGCTTTAAAGAGCACTGTTTGGCATATTATTAACAATTATTCCTTCACTTTTAAAACACAAAATAAAATTGTTCAAATGTTACAAAACCTTCTGACTTGTATCTTCCCCATCGGTATTTTTTTAATTGTTTTGCATACAACATTTATATACAATGGGCTGCATTTATGTACATTGTGTTTAACAGAATCATTCATACACATTGTTTTATATAATTACTATTGATCTAAGCCTATTATGACCCATCTCTTCAAGTCCCCACTGCATCTTTCCTATTCCTTCACCTCCCCCATCCGCCAGCCAACCACTGCTATCCTAGTGATTTTCCCCACCCCTTTTGCCCCCCTCTTGAATATTTAAACCTTTCCTGTTCTGTCACACCTTGTTGACTACATCCTAAATGTACATCATGTCCTTATTTTGTAATATTCCAGACACACAAGTCTTGAGCAAAAATCCAAAATTCTTTTCAGTTAGCTTTGTAATTTGGAGGTCTTATTTTAAATTATTCCATTTTTCAAATAGAAGCGCAAACAGAACAATATGCAGCCCTTGAGACAATGAGTATCCCTTCCCCTTTTTCCCGAAGTAGTTGTCTTATATGGTTTATCTGTATCAAAGGCAATTAAATGTAATAAAGTGTGTGGCACTAATAATTTAACCTTGAATTACACAAGTTAGCATTTGGAAGTAGCTAATTATTATATTTATAATATACAATAATTTCATATTTGTATCAGGAAGAATCAGCCCTTAGAAAAGGTCATCAAGCTTAGAAAAGTAGAGTCTGCGAAGGAGAGGAATGCTTTCAACAAGATGGATTGATACGGTGACTGAAATACTGACTTTAAGCACATTGAAGATTGTGAAGATCATAAAGGATAAGGCAAGATTTCAATTTGTTATACAGAGAGAGTTGCCATGAGGGAGCTCTGGTGGCCTGGTGGTTAGAAACTGTACTTCAATCACAAAAGGCATTTGGTTTGCAATCACCAGCTGCTCTGCAGGAGAAAGATGGGCAACCTTCTCCCATTATGATTAACTGTCTCTGAAAACCTGCTGGAGGGTCAGTGTGGTTGTTAACACTGGTTTATCCTCTACTTTTACAAGCTAACTGTCCTTCTCCAAGGCATGGGTCCTTCTGATAACATGCCCAATGTATGTGAGCCAAAGTCTTACCACCCCTGTCTAAGGAGCGCCCAGGCTGTACTTCCAAATCAGATTTGTTTGTTCTTTTGGTGAATATTCTTCACCAATAAAAAAATTCAAAAACATCAACTTTTCTTCAATCTTTCTTATTCACTGTCCAACTTTCACATGCTGATGAAGTAATTAAATAAGATAGTTTGGGTCAGGGTCAGGTGCACATTAAGCTTTAAACTGACATCTTTGCTTTTCAGCACTTTCAAGTAGTTCTTGGCAGCAGACGTGCTCAACGTGATGTCAGCTGATTTCTTGATCTTGACTGCCGTTTCTATGAGGATTGACTGTGGATCCAAGTAAAATAAAACCTTTAGTCAGTCTTATCTCTGTTCATCGTGTTATTGGTTCAGTAGCGAGGATTTTTGTTTTCTCAACACTGACATAATCCACACTGAAGTCTACAGTCTATGAGCTCAAGTGCTTCCAATCTTCATTTTCTGTATGCTGTGTTATCTGCATATTATAACTTAATGTCTTATTCCAATCTTGATCCCACATTCTTCAGAGTCCAGCTTCCCAACTGTTTACTTTGTACACAGACTGAAAAATAAAAAAGGAAAAACACCAAAAGCTAAGTCCTGATGGACTGAATTTCCAAAGCTGTTCATCACAGCAGATGGAACTGCTCTTCTTTCTCCTAGAGCTTCTGGTAGATTCAAAGTGCCAGGATGTGTAGCTTTTGGCTTAGCAACAAAACGTGCTATGGACTATTAAACTAGAGGTCTTTGATTTGACTAGGTATAGTGAAAGGATGCGACCCTGATGCTCACTTTTTAAAACCAGGCAGTTATTACCGTGTTCTTTCAAACAACTGCTTGTTTCACGCTGGAAGCTCTACCACTAGTATTTCAAATACCAGCAGTTGCCAGGTTTCAGTGTCAGACTAAGAATCAAAATTGGATATCCATTTTGAAATAGAGAGTTTTCAAAAACTCTATGAATATAGCAGGGAAACTGGACTCTATGAAGGATGTGGCATTAGGATAGGAAGACTATTCATCAACAACCTGCATTATGGAGATGACATAACCTTGCCTGTTCAAAGTGAGGATTGCTTCAAATGCTTGCTGCAAAAGATTAAAAGACTACTACCTTCAATATGGATTGCCTCTCAACATCAAGAAAACAAAAATCCTCACCGCTGGACTGACAGGCAATATGATAGAAAAAAACGGAAACAATGACTTCATCTTACTTGTTTTCACAAACAACACTCTTGGCACCAGCAGTTAAGAAAGCAAAGACATAATTCATGAGGAAAATCTGTTAGGGATCTCTCTAAATTACTGAGGAGCAATGATATCCGTTTGAAGACTAAGATGTGCCACGGTCTTTTCAATCACTATGCTATGCATCAGAGAGCTGGATAATGACTAAGTATGACCAAAGAATTGATGTCTTTGAATTGCAGTGTTAAGAGAAGAGTACTGAATATCCCACAGACTGCCAAAAGAACAAACATGTTTTAGAGAATGGGCGACAAAGTGCTCGTTATAGGCAACGATGGTAAAGCTTCATCTCACATATTTTGGACATGTTGCTAGACGGGGAATCCCTTGAAAAAGGACATAATTCTAGGATAGATGGAAGGTCAGCAAAAGAGAGGAAGACCCGAACAAAATAGACTGATACAGTGAGTACAGTAATAAGCTCAAGTATGTCAGAGATGAGGATGGCACAGAGGACAAGGCGCAGATCTGTTGTTCACTGGGTCACTATGAGTCGTACTCAACCTGATGGCACATAACACCACCACCATCTCTTTCAGTTTGTTGTACTGTGATCCTTCCATGTTCCTGCGATGCTGAAAATGTGGTATTTAATACCCTATTTATTATAAACCAAATCTAGTTTGACTTGAGATACAGTTTGGTGAATTATTTTTAAAGAATGACAAAAAGACACTGCTTTAAGTTTTCTAATTTTACTATCTCTTATTAGTACTATTTCATGGACAAACAAGCAGGTTATATTACAGAAATCTTATTTTATAGGAAAGCCAAGAAGCTACCAAGATATTTACAGGTACTATACTCAGTGATGCTTCTTATTTTTATCCTGGGATTCCAGTAAATATTCCGCTCCTGCAGCTACCACAAATGCTGCAAGTCCCCACTTGAATCCTTTCAATATTGCCCCCAGAAAGGAAACATTGTTTGCAAATCCACCCATGTATCTCCAAGCTTCATTACTGGAAGAAAAAAAGAAAAGAAAAAGGGAAAAATTACAATCATAATCTACATGTTTTCATTCCATGACTAAAAGTTACTAAATTTCCATCTTACTAATGGACTAAAGTAAAATTTTAAATAATGAAATCTAAAAAACAAAAAAAAAAAATCACAACAGAAATTTTTCCAAGGCATTGGAGAAAATCAGTATACATTTCACATGTAAAAAAGGAAAAGACAATTGATTCCCCAGTCACAATTTTCCAGGAATTTACAGAATCCACAAGGTCATACTCATTTCAAGCTATCCATCACAGAAAGAGGGCATTACAGTAAGACTTGAATATTAATCTTTGTTCTGCCACTTTAACAACATTGCTAAGTGTTTACTGTGGGCAAGTTACATCTCTCATGATCTTCTTGCTCTTATATTCAATAATTATTGTCTATCTTATGTATTATTTCAAAGATTAGACAGGGTTTTGTATGACATATTTTGGCACAGTGAGTGTGAGACATGTGGTGACATTATTACTATTGAAGAGGACAGTAATTTTGCTCTGTCCTGGCATTTTGAACACTGGCTATAATTCTTCTATTTTAAATAGAGAAGCAAACAGAAGCCAGAGATTTTGAGGGGAAAAGGGTTTCTTCCACAGAGTCCGATGGAAAAAAGTGAAAGAATTATGCTGTAAAGATTTTTTTTAAAACCCTGTCACTCTACTACTACATGGTTCAAAATAGGGAAGGGTGTATGTCAGGGATGTGTGCTATCTCCATACCTTTTCAATATACATGCAGAACAGATTATCTGGGAGGCTGGGCTGTATGAGGAGAAATGTGGCATCAGGACTGAAGGAAGACTTAGCAACAATCTCCATTATGCAGATGACACAACTCTGCTTGCTGAAACTGAGGACCTGAAGCGCTTACTGCAAAAGATCAAGGACTGCAGCCTTCAATATGGATTGAAGCTCAACATCAAGAAAACAAAAGATTCTCACCACTGGGCTGAGTGGCAGCATCATGATAGACGATGAAGAGATTTAGATTGTTAACAGCTTCAGTTTGCTTGGCTCCACAATAAACACTCTTAATACCAGCAGCCAGGAAATTAAAAGACAAATTGCATTGGGAAAAGTCTGCTGTCAGGGACATCTCTAGAGTGCTGAAGAGTAAATGATGTCAGTCTGGAGACTAAGGTGTGCCTGATTCAAGCTATGGTCTTCTCAATTACTTACTACGCATACAAGAGCTGGACAATAACTAAGGATGAAAGAAGGATCAATGCTTTTGGGTTGTGGTGCTGGAGAAGAGTGTTGAATATACCATGGACTGCCAGGAGAAGAAACAGGTCTGTCCTAAAGAGGGTGATACCAGTTTGCTCCCTGGAGGAAAGAATTTTGAGCCTTCGTCTCACATAGTTCAAGCACGTGGCTAGGAGGGACCTTGGAGAGGAACATTATGTTTGGAAGAGGGGAGGGACAGCGCAGGAGAGGAAGATCCAGAATGAAATAGATTAACTCAATGACTGGAACAATAGGATGAGGTCTTTTGGAGACGATGAGATTGGCGCAAGATAGAGCAGCTTTCAGAGGTAAAGTACATAGGGTCACTATGAGACAACAACAACAGGAAATATGAGAACTAACAAAAATCTAATTAGAATACAAAAGCAAATAAAGACTATACAAGAGGAGAAACTAGTGAATGTAATTTTTCATTAATATATCCATTATTGCTGGAGTTTTTCCTAATTCTAGCAACTCTACAGGGTAGAGTACAACTGTCCCATAGGTTTCCAAGCCTGTATGTATTCACAGAAACTGACTGTCACCTCTCTGTTTCACAAAGTCACTAGCTGGTTTGAATGACTGGGTTTTTGGCTACTAGCTAAGCAATCAACAACTGTACCACTAGGGCTCCCTTTCATAGACATACCATACATATTCTCTACAAAATTTTCAAAATTTAACCTCGCAATTATAGAAAAAGAAGCAAGAAATCATGATAAAGGAGGGTTCATTTCCAGAAAGGCAAGAATAATACAGTATCTGAAAATTTTTAAATGTCACCCACATCTTAGACCATGAAAAGTTGAATAAGCATTTCAATAGATGTAAGAATAGCAATGCAAAATTCAATACAGACTAATGTTCTTTAAAAAAAATTCTCAGTAATGTAGATACAGAAATTAATTTCTTCACCTTGATGGATGGCCTCTATAGGAACCTTACAACTAACATCATACTTACTGATGAAATTGGGCTGATTTTCTCCAATTAGAAACAAGACAAGGATGTCCGCTTTCACCACGTAACGTTTTAAGAAAGGTATTAGTGCAATAACGTAAGTAAAAAAAGTTTCCAGATTGAAAGGAAAAAAGTAACTAAGTCTTTATTTACATGCAAAATAATTGTGTACAAAGAAAATCCTGATGTATATACATATGCACATGCATAGATAAATGAACATAAACATATAATATATATGACTCTATTTCAAAAGCACTGCAGAGAAAATTAAAGAGCATTTTTATTGTTCATGAACTAAAAGACTCAATATTGACAAGATGTTAATTATACTCAAACTGATCTATATATTCACTGTGGTACTGATCAAAATGCAAGCAGGCTTTTTGGAGAAATTGGCAAACTCATCCTAAAATTTATAAGCAAATGCAAAGAATCCAAAAATGGGAAAAACACCCTAACAAGTGAAAAACCAATTAACACGTTGATTAACAAGTTGAATGTCATACATTATCTGTTTTGAAGCAAGACAAGGTATTGCCATTATGCTAGGGACTTGATCAGAGTGAGAGTAAGGGTACAGAAAGCCCACAAACATGACCAACTGATTTCTGGGAACAGTACAGAGGTAATTTAATGGGTGAATTACAGTCTTTGAACAAATGGTGCTAGAACTGGGTTGTTGTTGTTATGTGCCATCGAGTCATTTGCAACTCA